GGGCACGGCGGCACCGGCGCCCTCGGGGCACGGGGCGGCCTCCGAGCGCCCCCGGGTGCAGCGGGAGCTCGAGTGGAGCCCGGGAGTAAAAACCCCCTTCGCGTCCCCTCCGCGGCAGCGTGACCCGCGCGAGCGCAGGAAGGGAAACGGAGCCGCGTTGCGCCCCAAGGATGGAGCATCCCGCGGGGATGCGCGCTCCAGCTCCAGCGAGCGCTCGCGACCCTCCCTCCGGCGTCCAGGGCTGCATCCGCGTGGGCAGCGCGTCAGGTCCTTGTGGCGTTTGCCCCCTTCTGCCAGCGCTAACGCTGGGTGCACAGAGGGCCATCAGCGAAGGGGGCCCCCCTTTTCTCCTTGCACTGACCAGAAAACACGGGCTCCCCTCGGCCTCCCGTGCACTCCCAGCACCAGCTCCTCGCAGAAACGAGGGCACTTTTAGTGCTGAACGCCCCTTTTTCCCCTTTCCCTGCCCTGGGCTCGCTAGGCTTCCCCCTGGGTCAGCGCCGCTCGGTCGCCCTTGGCCAGCTGCCCCAGGTCCCCAGTCCACCCTTCGCATCAGCCCCAGCTCTATCTGCAACAACCAGATTCAAACCCACAGATTTTTATCCCTGCTAAAACATTGGGGTGGAAATACACTGAAAGGACAAAAATATCCTCTACAAACTTTGCTACTGATTTTTTTTTCACCTGTCTGATCCATTACCCATGCGTAACGGCAACTAAACTCCCTGTGCACGCTACAAACGGCAGCTGTTATTTCATGTGTTTGTTCTCAGACCCTTCCTAAGCATAATTAAATCTGCCTTAAATTAATTTAATTACCAGGCCATCCTGTGTTTTATAAAGCAGCCTGCCCCTCCATTTTCCATGAAGAACATACTCAATATGTGCAAGTTTTCCATCTTATTTAGGAATATATTACTACTGCCGACTGCAGTATCTGCTCCTGGAGGCAGGTACCTGTTTGAGGACAGTGGTCTAGCATGAACTTCTGCTCCAACACAAGATGTTCATATTAGATGTTGGTGTTGCAGATGTCAATTTTAGTTCAGTTCCCTATTTTTGACAGCTCTTTTGCAGTGGGAAAACACAATAGGGAGGAGAAAAAAATTTCCACAGACTTTTCCAGGTGTTTCCAAGAAAATCCATCAGAAACGCAACTAAACACCACCTATCCAAATTTGCAGCCTTATTTTAAACCCCAAGACAGACAAGAATTCTGTAGAGGGAAAGTCTGAGCAGCGCAGGCTGCACAAGCGATGCAGACAGTGTTGCAAGGGGGAAAAGAAATCACATTTTTCTATTGTGGAAGGGCTGGAGCCTGACAAGAGATGGCTTAGTAGGGGCTAGAATGATGTGGAGTGCAGGAGAAAGAGCAATGCAGCCGAATACATTGCTTTTTAAGCAATGAAATGCATTGCAAGGAGTTTGAAGAAACTTAAGCCAATACATTGCTTTTTAGAAGTCATGGAGGTACCTCAATGCAAACAGGACAAGCAGTTTTGACTAAGAACAGGCTGCGGGGTTTTTGCAAAGGTGACAGTCTTCACCAGTAAGAGAGGGAGCTACAAGGTGAGAAAAAGCAAATATTGCCCACGACCCAGCAGCGAGAGACCAGATCTCTGTAAATCAGCTCCGATGACGCCACTAGATGAAACAAGTTACCTCCCTGATGGTACCAGATAAAACAGGAACTGGAATAAATAATAAAATCAAACCAGGTTATTTTTCTGTTCAGCCATAAGTCTTTGATTTTCAGAACTCTGGTCACTGCAGCAGCATTTTGGGTCTCCCAGTTTGCAGGATATGGTCAGTAGCATCTCAGCTGGAGAGCAGCAGCAATCAAACAGGGCTGACCAAGCCCCAGTGCAAGCACGTAACAGTATTTCTACAGAATATACATCCTGTCTCTAAACATTTATACCTTGAAGTCTTTTGGCATTTAACAACCTTGACATTTTTTGCCCTAGTCCTTTTCCAAACTCAGTTGCTTCCCAGCTGATGAATCCTTGTCCACTGAGTCATTCTTCATCCAGAAGCTGTGCTATACATTTGATCAGCCTCTGTAGCTGGTCTAATTCTATTATAACCTTTCGGAAAAGTCATGGAAAAGTCAACATCATTGCCTCAGATATCCTGAGTTGTTTGCTCTAGGGTTGGTGAACTAAGGTGGAAACAAGCCTAGAGAATCCTGAATGGAAAGACTATGTCCCTGGGCACACAGTAGGAGCAACAGGGAATTCCTGCCTGTTTTACAGCGCAGCTAAGCGAGCTGCAGGTCACCCGTGGCCAAGTCCTACCCTCCTCCCCACAACTCTTGAGGCCTTGGGCTGGCAGTTGTGTAAACAGCCCAACAGGAACAGGCGGAACCTGGGAACACACCAAACACACCCGGGCTGGTAGGTGTCTCCCCGTGGCCCTCCCAGCTCAAGTTACAAACCTGGTAAATACTTCCCCAACCATCGTTTCCTCCTTTACCTCTCCTCTTTCTCCACGTACCTCTCCTCTTTCTCCACGGCTGCTTTATTGGCTGAGGGAACAGAACGTGAGAGCAAGGTCAATCCTCACAGGCCCTCAAGAGCTAATTCAAGCAGCAAATGTCCTGGGGAGGGGGAACCAAGAGACAGAGTGCGGCAGTGCTGGGAACAAAGAGGAACAGTCGCTCACAGGGCTGCAGGAGAGTGAGAAGGCAAAGGGCAGAATCTCATGCAAGCTGCAACTCAAAGCAGCCCAGACATTTAAAACTCTTATTGGAGAGGTTGGATAACCCTGCAAAACTATTATTGGAGATGCTGGATAAACCTTAGCTTCCCGCAAAGCTTTCATGGGAGTGTGAGGACGAGCAGGGGCGCCTGCCACCCGCGGGACTGGTGCCTTTGTGTGAGGACTCGTGGCCCTCCTTGCTGCCCTCCTCGCTGCGCTCCGAGGCGGAAAGGCTGGGGAACATGGGGAGGAGTCGAACGCCCCGCATCCGCCCCACGGCTCGGGCAGCGCAGGGCACTGCCCACCACGCGCGTCCTCTGTGGCCTCAACGGGAGCCAAAAAGGCAGGAGCATTGAATAGACAAACAGGGCAGGTAAGAAAAATACTGCCTCTTGATTTAATGTGTAAAGACATCAGTAAACAGAACGGTACAGACGGTAAGAGGCAACACCCCTCTCATCACCCCTACCAGCTCTCTCCAAACCACGACAGGTACCGGGTGATGACTCAGGAGGAGCAGCAACGCTGGAGGCTTCGGGAATGGCCAAGAGAAGCCTCCTTGCTGCGTGAGGGTGAGAGGAGACAGAGGAAGCAGCTTCCCTGCCCCTGAGCAGGGCGATGTCTCTGGGCACAGATGAGGAGGAATGCTCTTCACTCCAAGGGAGCAGCACAGGGCTTTCTCAGACATGTAAAAGGGGCATGTGTGAACTTGGAGAACACAGCTGGGAGCTACATTAAAGGTGCAAGATACAATACGTACTGACCTTGGCAACCAAACCTGTGTTTCACAGCAATTTTAGCCTCCTGAAGAGTGATGACAAACAGGGCAGCTAGGTCCAAGTTGGCAAGTGCTCCAGGACTTGTTGGTGAATGCAAAACTAAGCATGGGGACAGCGAACAAGACTACTCTCTGCACAAACATTCTTCTGCCCTGCTCCCTACTTCGGTCCCCCCAGCCCAGGACTGGCCTTGTCTTCCTGAGTGCTTCTCCTCGAGCTGGGGAGCACTGGGTGGTCAGAAAGGTCATCAGGAAGCAGCCCTCGGTGCAGGTGTCAGAGGACGATGATTTGGGTACCTGAGTAGAGGGCTGGGGAAACCAGGAGGGATCAGACGACACTGCTGGAGACAGGCAGAGATTCCAGGCACGAGCGCTCCGGCTCCCACCTGTCCGGCAGAAGCTGCGACGGAGCCAGGGCAGAGCAGGCTCTGAAGGTAGTTGAACGGCTGCCAGCCAGAGGCTACAGTACGGACGCGAGCGCTACCCGGACATCCACGTCCGAGAGCGGTGGCAGGTGGCACCCTGACCCCTGGCAGACAGCAAGGGCCACGTTTCACTGCTCTCTGCCTCTCCAGGTAGCAGGAGGTGCCGTTTCTGCTGCCGCCGCACGCGGTCAAACACGAAGGGAGGGTGAGCCAGCTCACACGTGCCCCAGCTCCCTGCGCCAAGCACCAGTGTCTAGCACGGGGCCCCCCCATAGTCCAGAGTGCCACATCAGAGCCCCTCAGATCTCAACGTCACTTTCCTTGTCGTTATCGTGGTCACCGTCATAGAACTCGTTGGGAGCTTCAGGCCTGGGGGAGAGAGCGATCGTGACTGGGGAGGCCCCGTGGGGACAGGAATGAAGACCAGGTCACATGCACGAAGTCAGAAAGTGTGTTTTGCCAAAGCACCCCGGGACACTTTGTAAGGAGACCACACATTTGTGGGGAATGGCTCCCTGGGTGAAACCAGAACCTCAGAAGTGCCTTAATATTCCCCTCCCAGGGAATAAATTTTTGCACATCACTTGCCCACCCCAGGGGAAACAGAGAGAGAAGCCTGTTTCTCCAGGTCACCAGAGCATCTACCTGCTGTAGTTTTCCTCAGAGCCTCTTTCCTCTGGATCAGGCTCATCCGTGCGGTCGTAGCTGAGCAGGTCGGAGGGGACATCGTGGATCTGCACGCTGGGAGCGTGGTTCAGCATCTTCAGATTCTCAAATATCGTCTGCCTGATCTGATCCAAGTACTACTCAGGGAAAAAAAAAGCAAGGGAATTAAAGAGAAAAATCACAACAATCATACCTGACAGTCTACACAGAGCCACAACTATTAGCACCGTTACCCGTCTGCATCATCTAAGTGGTTGCCATGAGAAATAACATTTGTGCAAAGGGCAGAGGAGGTGAGGGAGCTAATAGAGTTGTCGTGACTCAAACACATAGAAAACGTTGTAAGAGAGCTCAAGAAGGTTCCCACAGGCCAAGGACCCTTTCTCTCCGAAGGCCTTGCTGCCATCCCAGAGGGAAGGCTCTGCCTGTACTTCCTCAGCTTTCTGTCTCCGTAAGAATTCCTCACCAGGGCTCTGCCTGCTTTCACAGGATACAGCATCAGCCACAGGGTTTGGGGAACACACAGCACCCACCTGCCTGGAGTTCTGGTTCTCAATCCTCGTGCTGACATCGGGATGAAGGGTGAAGTCGGGAGCAAAGTACTCAAAGTACTCTGCGAGGGAAGGAGGCAGAAAGTTAAACCACAGCAGCAAGGGGACCAGCCAGGCTGCTCTGCGGGGAAGCAGAGGTTACTCTCCCACCACCCCAGCTGAGATGAGACCCTAAAAGGCACCAGGACATACAGCTCCAATCGTAAGGATCACATGAAACAAAGAAAGCAAATGTAATGCCCAGGTCACTGGATAGGAAATGATTCCTATTATTAACATAGGACACAATAAGGATTTTTTTCCTGTCCAGCAAAACCAACAAGCTAGAAGCTTGGGAGCTGGAAGGGTACTGTTGTATCCCTCTGCATGATTAAGAACAGAGAGTGCTGTCACTTGGACCCAGATCCTCCCTCTGGTCAGTATGCAGCAGAAATGGTAATTTTTCAGCTGGTACAACAGGTACCTTAGCTAAACAGTGAAAAAGCAAACAAAACCAGAAAAATAAAAAGTGAAAAAACACCAAAAACAAACAAATCTGACCAAAAACAGGGGAACGCCACCTTACCACTGTATGGGAGCTCCTCACTAATTGCTTCCTCTACAAGCAGGGATGTTTCATAAGTCCTGAAAACACCAAAAAAGATGGGCTCAGTCCAGAGAAAGCTTCATGGTAGATGCAGGCACAAAACCCACAGTGACTGCTGTATCGCTGACCTTCAAAAAGCATGGAGAGACTCACCAGCATCGGGCCACGTTGCGGACCGTGTAGCCACCTCCTCCCAGGACCAGCAAGGGGATGTTGAAGCTCTTTACATACTCCACGCATTCCCTAGAAATTCAAACGAGAAATACCAGAGCAGTCACAAAATCTGACATGCTGACATCACGAATCTGACATTCTCACGTCAGGTGGTGATTTCTCCCCTGAGCCACCCACCACATGCTCAACCACCACTGCTGTTGCGATACACCCGGCATTCGAAATTCCCACCCAGGGATCCTGACCACTCTGCTAGTTTGGGAATCTCCACCCTGCAGCCCTGTGTGCAGCCCTGTCAGAAGAGAAAAAACGCTGCTGCTGCTGGAACACTGAGGTGAAAGCTCTGCAGGGCCCTCTGCAACCCTGCAGGGTAACAGGGGTCCTTCGGCTGCTCTGCTTACCCGTGCCCTCGTATGCTGAGGTTAAAGCAGCCCAAACGGTCGCAGCCCAGAGAATCAGCACCACACTAGGGAACAGAAAAAGAGCAGGTGAATTTTGGCTCTAGAGGCATCGCTTTTCCTACATGTCACAGCATCCTCACCCCTTGGCCACCCCAATTCAAGAGAGCTACAGAGAGCAGCTCAACCAGGATGACACTATTCCCTGGGAACAGGGAATTGGTAGCTTAACCCTCCAACCCGGAGCATCCAGAGGGGATGTGCATGTGCAGAGGCCTCATTTCTCACCTGCAGTACTATGCAGGTGGGCTGGTAGTAGTCAACCACCTGGTTGATGACTGGCTGGAAGAGATGTTTGTAACCTGCACGGACAGAAAGGCAGATCTGTCATGGCTCTGGAGCCGAAGAAACCAGCAAACACCTGGGCAGGGAGAAGGTGAGGAACATGGCTTACTTTGGTCGTCAATGCCATCTCGTAGAGGCACGTTCAGACAGTAGTAACGGCCACTCTCTGCACCAACTTCATACATGTCACCTGGCCACGGAAAGACAGAAGTCACCACAGCTCTGAAACTTCAGCCGTGTGGACAGACCAGACCCATTGCAGGCCAAGATCCACGCTCAGCGAGCTACGATCCCCCTTTCCTACAAATAACTACAGGACTGTTCCTCTCTAGGTGCTTCTCCATGTGCTTTCTTGCATCATTTCTTTTTTCCTGCAGCTGCAATCTCAATCTTACACTGAAAGCAAAGCTTTCAGCTGCTTCTGAAAGGAGGCTAGGTGCACATTATAAAGGAAGCTACGTACCCGTTCCAGGAAAGAAATAGTTCCCGTATTTGTGAAATGACACTGTCATGACACGGTCTGTCAAGTAGAAGGCCTCCTGGACACCGTCTCCGTGGTGAATATCGATATCAATATACAGAACACGTGGGTGGTATCTGCCAGAAACAGGAGAAACTGCTTCACACCGTCTGCTCTGCACCTAAGCACATCATTACCCACATTTTACTATCCCCAGAACTCTGAAAAACCATAAATCTAATCTACACACAAACCTACCTGCCGAAAGAACCCACCTGTCCCCCTCCACACATATCAAATAGCTTTGGACATGCGTTACATTTGTACATATTTGTGCCTGTACAAATGCACCCACCACTCAATTTTTTGGAGATATTAACACAGAAGGCTTTCAGACGGAGACAGAAATATACTGGAAAACACACGATAAAGAGAACCTATTTAACCACATTGGAGTTGGAAAGTTATTTTCAAGCAACTTGCTGGTTGATAAATCTTTAAGAACTCCAGCAGATTTTAACCATCTCTGGAAATGGGCAGTAAGCCAGCCACGGGGGTAAGAGCACTTATTTCCCTCCATGTGCCAGAATACTGGCAGGACGGGCAGTACCACGTCCCTGCCAGCAAGCTCCGAGGAAAACGAGTTGGATTCTGAAGAGCTGCCTTGTTCCAGCACAGATTGGATGCAAATCCTAAGGCTGCAGAAATCAGTTGTCACTGGCTCAGGTAGGGAATCTGAGGCAATGCTGGCAGGATGGCAAGGAGCTGATCCACAGAGAGAGGCATGAGGGAAGCCCTGGGCACGATGCAAGTCAGAAGGGATGTTCAGGCCGATGGGGAAGAGGTAACTTGCCCCAACCAGGCTCCCTTGGCTCAGTTGTCCCAAGGAAATGGGCACCTTGGAGGAAAACCTTGCTGGCTCCCAGAAACAGAACGGGGATGAGATGAGATCACCACCAGCAAATGCAGTAGTTCAAAGGGTGAAAACTCATGTCGTCAGTGCACGTCAGCACTGTCAAGCACTGGAGACGTGTCCTGCCTGTCCTGCCTGCCAGCTGTGGAACTGGCAGAACTTTAGCACCTTTTATAAGGACATACAGCATCTGAACAAGCCAAAGAGCAGGGAATCTGGCACATGTGTGTGTCAAGGAGACCTGGAAGAGATCTGAAGAGCCAGACATCATCAAAACCTAAAGCCCTTAAGGCCTTACCCCAGCTGACTAACAAGAGCAAGGAGAAAAGGGGGATGAACACGGAGTCTTTGTGCACTGCCAAAGGGAGAAAGGGACCTTCTAAGGGCAGAGGGACCACAGTACCCTCACAGACAAGGACTCAGGCAGCCATCTCCTGTGGAAATCGTTCCCCAAAAAAGAGAACAAAGGTTTAAGGACACAATATTGTCTTCCTTGGGGGGATGATGAGGCTATATTTGAAGCCTCTAGCATGAGAGGCGCTAACACAACAGCCTGAAAAATGGGTGTGCAGAGGTATAACAGTGCAGAGCTGAACTTTTGAGCACAAAGGAGGAAAAACTGGCATGGAGGAAAGAGACGCAAGAAATCTCTGTATGTTCCATAAATGTGACTTGTCAGCAAGCTTGCCATCAGTCATGCAACTATTTGCTAGGATGAGCAGTGGATTTAAAGGACAAATATCAGAGATTATTCCAAGAAATTGAAGGTGTTTCTTTAACTTTGATTTTCTTTCCCTTAAAAAGAAAACCCAACAAGAATGACTCTTGACTCTGACTCTTTTCTGCACAAAACACCTGCCCTTTGATCATCCACGTGTTGCCCAAGTTCTCCTCTTAAGCCAGTCAAGCAAATCAAGAACGTGAGAGTCATTTTTCTCCAGTGAGCCATAGCCTGCATTTCCATACAAAAGGCTCGCTCTGGCAAAAAAAAATGCTGGGACTCACAAGACCTCCAAAATGGGTATTTCACACACGGATACGGAGAAACAGAATTTAAGAAGTTTCCTTTATCATTAAACCACCCTATAGCAAAACTGGAAACAGATATTCTAATTCTTAAGCCCCCAAACTTATGTCTAAAGAAGAGATCAGGTTGAAAGATCAAGTTCCCAGGGTTCTCAGAATTCGGAAGGGCAAAGACATCAACCAAGCACAGAAGAGAGAGAGAACAGGCACAGGATATAAGAAGCCACGTGCTGGCCAGGACAGTTCTGCACTTGGCCCATGTACTTACTTAAGCAGCTCCAGGATGCCGATAACTATGTCATTAACATAGCAAAAGCCAGAAGCCTGCAAGAAAAGAAAACCAAACAGTATTAGAACAGAATCAACACAGAGTACGGTCCTCAAGAGGACAGAGGAGTGCTCAGATTTGTCTCGTTACCTCAAACTTTTTGGCGTGGTGCAGACCCCCAGCCCAGTTTATGGCAATATCACAGATCTAAGGAACAAAAGATAAATCCGTTTGAGATGACAGCATGGCAACCACCAGCTTCCTGCCATGCACCCAGCCAGCAGGCACTCCAGCCCCGCACCGTGGCCCCGAACACCCTTCTGCCCTTTCCTGCACCTCTGCAGGCCACCGTGAAGCTCCACGTTGCTCTACAGCCCAGCTAGCAAAGTTTGCTCCATGGTGTCCATACTGGATTAGCCACGTCCTCTATGCTCCTCAGTAGGACTGCAGAGAGCCTCTCCCACCACCCCCGGTCCCCCACCCTGCCAGCACTAGACAGAGCACCCAGCACAGAGAGCTCGCCCAGGGGCTCTGCTTTACACTTACCACACTGACAAGTGTCATCCCTCTAAAATACTGTTGAATCTCTGCAGCTTTTACACAGCAACACAGCTGTGCTTACTCTACTGCTGCTAAAAAACTCACCCAGGAGGCTGTCCTTAAATTAATAACCTATTAACTTCTATCTGTGTTTCAAGAGACAATCCCATCAGCTCAGGTACCTTGTTATTCAGCTGTGTTGCTCCCTGCAGGGAGGCCCCAGTGTAGCGAGAGCAAAATTCAAAGAGGCCTGGAAACACTGGGCTGGAAAAGAAGCAACAGTTCAAATAGAGAACATCCCCCACATCTCTCTGGAACGAAGCTGGGAATAAAACTGTCGCAGCAGTGAGGATGTGGAACCATCTTCCAAGTCCCAGATTAAATGCTTAAAACAAGCTATACTAATATTTTCTTGGGGTAACATTGTTCCCCAGCTAACATAACTTCTGCTGTCACATTACTTACAGTTTTCTCCACCAAAGAACACATAAGGACAATCTTATTCTCTGACAGCCCTCACTTTCCTCCCCTGGACACTTTTTCAGTCACACAAGGCGCTTTTCCTCACATTTCTCCCATGTTGCCAACTCCCATGAACATTAAAGACTGAAATTAAATATTCTTAACAAGATCCCCTGTGGTTTTGTACAGCTGCATGAATAGCGCCTCAGTTCTACCCGAAAATCAGGTTCCAAAGCTGCCTAAAATTTAACACACACACATTGGCATAGCTAAAAATGACAGGCAATTATTTTAAAAGGTAGCTAGTACACCCGAGAACTGGGGGCTCTGCAAGAACAAGTAGAGGCACAATTTCTAACTCAAGCCTACAGTCTTAAATACAGGCCTAAAAACATGGACAGCAAAGAGTTAGAGAGCAGGGAAAGGGAGCAAGGAGGCTCCAGGAATCTGATATGATCAGGAAGATATGTACTTCATTCTAGTTAAGAAAAAATAAAGGAGTGGAAAAAAAATAAAATTAATTTTCTAAAAAAAAGAGACACAGAATGCAGCATATTCTAGGAGAGCTCCTCAGACACAGGCAGTTTGGGATCACGTTAGCCTTTACGACCCTGTGGCCATGGAAGGCCACAAGACTCACCAGTCATCGCCCACATTGAAGGCATTGAGGCTTTTGGTGAATCCCTGCATGTTGTTGGGACTCACTCGCTGCAGGAAGTCGATGTAGTCCTCGGAATGGAATCGGCACATGTCGTGCTGGGATGCCTGATACGGTTTGAAAACCTTCAGGAGAGAAAAACAAGACTCATTGCCCATCCAAACCTGCATTTGCTTTGGCTAAAAGACACTTCAAACCAATTGCCAAACAACCTGCATGGAGTATAACCAAAAATACTCCAATACATGTTTAGCTCCCTGACACTCATTTAAACCCAATAAGCTGCTCCATGAAGCCCATTTTCCTACTAATTTGTCTCTTAACCACATCCTCATCTCCCACAACACCTGCAGCTCTCACCATATCCCTCCTTTCCCCCCACTACAAAACACCCCATATCCTACACCCAAATCCTAGACTCGCTACCACAGAAATCTCAATTCTCTTCCACATAGATGTACACACATATATATGTATTCACACATATGTATATACACACACACACACTCTTGACAGGCAAACTGGCAAGTAGAAGAGAAGAGCCAAGTCCAGACTGCATTTTTTCTTCATCAGGTCACACTATTGCCACATTAGCCACCAGCGTTCACAGAATTTGTAATTCCTTCACAAAATGAAGGTTTCTGTCCCTCTGTCAGACTTGTCTCTAAGGGGTTCCTAGGTTCAAGAGTTATTTAGATAGATGGAACAGTTGCATAAGCTTCATTTCCTTTTCAAAGTGGTCTAAAAATGGTCAGGGAGCTGGATGGATTCAGATTCAGGTTCTCATGACAACACACAGTTGCCAATTTGGCACTTAAGAGTGAGTACCTTAATATGCAGTAAGTTAAAAATTAACATTGCCTATCCATCATGGGGAAAACTAAATCTCCCCTGAAATCAGGATGGGGTAATTTTTGTGTTTCCCAATTTGTCTTGGATAAAGCATGCCCTGCATGGAAAAAAAAAGGGAAATAGAGTAAAACATGGAAAAAAAACACATGCTTTTCTCCCCAAGGAAAATATGTCAAGGCAGCTTCTATCAGCATGACTGTTTTCTAGGCTAAATATGATCCTGTGAGACCTGTATTAGTATCATACAGTGCCAGGCAGACTGATGGACTCCTTGCAAACCTGCACAACTGCAAAATGTAACTAAAAGTCCATAATGTGGGAGCAGTACAAACACACTTCACTGAGAAGATGGTAGTTTTATTCTTAAGCCTCATTTAAAAAAAAAATCATTTTTTTAAAAAATAGACATTTTGAAAAGCAAAAATTGAAGTGAAATGTTTGGAAATTCACGTGCTGCCCACCAGATAAGCCAGGCAGGTTTCCTGGAGGAGGTATGTGGGGCTACTATACTCCATCTCCTTCTGCATGTGTTAGTTGTACAGGTTTTCAAAGGAGCATCCCCTCTCCTGCAGTATTTTGGATGACCATTAATCTCCAGTTAGCAAGACCTATTTCCCAGGAAGATTCTGGAGAGACACATCCCCTTGGGGTCCATGATTAAATCAAACAAGACCAAAAGCAACACTAAAAAAATCCTCGTGGAGGAGAAATAAACCTCGCAGGATATTAAGAGGCTCTCTTGGATAATTAGAGGTAGTGACAGGGGATCCAAAACAGAGAGAAAAGAGAAAACTTCAAGACTAAGCTGCTAGGAGAAGGGGAAACTTGCCTCCTTCCACCTTTTCCCCCGCTCCCAGCCACACAACCCTGCGCAGGCTCTGGCAGGTCACACAGGCTGCCTCATACTGCGAATTCAGCAGGTTTTTTTCCTGGTTTTGCCAAGTTGTGGAGTTGCATCAGCTTCGAACAGCTTCCAGGTATCAGCTTCCAGCTGAGCCAACAGCCTCCAGACACAGCACGGGGGAGGCAGGGGGAACACGATGCAGGAAAGTGGAGCAGAGCAGCAGATCCCTCTCAGCAACACGGAGCCTTAAGGAGGGGATCTCCACACGCCCACAAGCCACAAACAAGCTGGGAAAATATCTCAAAAGAGAAAAACAGCTTCTTTCACCTGGGCATAACAGCAGGCTTCTCTATGGAGAAGGCAGAAGGGGCACATAACGAGTGATGTAACCATAACAAAGCCACTCAGACCTTTTATGGTCACCACTGACCAATAAACCCTCGGTTTTATTTGCTTGTAACTTTGCCAGTCACTGACTGTTCAAGATGAAGTTTCCTGTGTGGTTTTCTGCCTCATGATGACATTTTATGGAAAATGTAACTAAAATAAAATAAAAAACCAAACCCGGCTAGCTTCAAGGCTAAAAATAGGGCAAAGTGTACAGCTCTGCCTACTGCCTCCGTCAGGCATGGATTTGACATTTAGAAGTGTCATGTCAGAATATGCTTTTTGCTGTTTCTGCAAGAAAAAAAATCCCGAAGTTTGACAAGTTAGTCATAGAAGTTCACATATTTACAGTAAAAATTTGGAAACTAAATTCTCCAGACGCTGTGTGTGCCCCAAGTATATCCAGCTGGATCTGCCCTGCCCTTGGTAACTCCAAGATGCCAGAGAGAGGAGTTAGGAACAGGGTAACTTTTTCTTTGAGGTCTTAGTGGTTTCAGCTTTGATTAAAAAGTAGACAGGCATTCAAGAGAAGATACAGAATCAGCAAACATGGAGAAAAAAGCCCTGGAGGTTGGAGTTCCTATTGGCATGAGGAGAAGGCATCAGCTTCCCAATCCTTTCTTATTTCTCCTGCCAACAGGAACACAAAAAAAACAGCCCCTCCTGAGGCTGGTCCCTACAGGTGGTTGAATATTTGGCTGCTATGAATTACTCCACGGGCACAAGCCCATACTGTAACGGATGAAAAATCAAAAGGATTCGACTCTACCAAACACCAAGGTAAAAGAATTAGTTCCATAAAGGAACTTTTTTAAATGTTTAAGTAGGCCAAGGTTATATATTCCATTAAGCAACAATTTTAATGGTGCATCCTAGCAGAGCAGTGCATTTGCTTTGAAAAACTGGCCTCGTGCTCTGGTTTTAGGACACTTTTCTAAGCACTATGCTGAGCCCCCAAGTCTCTCCTCCCATAAGGGGATGCACTAGCCAAAGAGCTTGAAGGTGAGCCCGTGACAAAAGCCAGGCACCTGGACAGCACAAGAAATAATGACAAGATTGCTCAAGTGACAGTGGGTACAAAGCAGAGGGAAAAGCCACATCTCAACTTTCCCACTTATATGGGTTTGGCTGATGACACTTTGCCCTAAAAAGGGAAGAAAAAACAAGATTTTTGCCTTTTTCCCTCCCCAGAAACTGGAGAGGATGCTGTAAATACGCAGGATTCAAGATATTCCAGAACCAGCACCTCTGGGCTGATCCTGTTCTCTACTGCTCACAGCAATAAACTTTGATGCCAGAGCTGCCTAAATTTCACGTGCCTGAAAGGTGCCCTTTAAGCAGGGGCTTTTCCCCGGTATTATGACAACTGAACACTGCTCAGGTTCCTCATCAGTAAAATTTGTTATAGTTTTGCCTGACTTAATGTCAGGCATGAGGGAACACAGGAACTAGAAAGGCTCTGGAAAAGAGCCTGGTCTAGCTGGTAAGAGCCTGAGCATGGCACATTTCTGCCTAACAGCTTTCTACAATCACTGTGTTTTTGCAACAGCTCATGATTTATCCCTAAGACACGTTGCAAACATGAAAACATATCGCTGAGACGGGCTGATGATGCTGTCGCCTCTAGAACTTCCCTCTAAAACAAGCGAGTCCCCAGTGAGCAAGTAACTGCATCTCCTGCGATCGATTTTAAGAGTACAAGCATCAAAGCAGCTTCCTAGGACATCGAGTTCAGACACGTGAATAACAGGAGAAGTATCTGCTTTGTGAAGTGCTTTACTTATTTATATAACCATGGTCAAATTATTTATGTATATATATAATCACATACACACGTATAAAGTCAAGTGTGTGTTATATGAAACACGTAATTATATACTCAAGTATATCTATACACACATATATCTACGTACATGAAAAGTGCAGTGCCTGGAGCTGGAGAATACAGATTAACATTTAGGACAACATTCTGGGTCATGGCCTTTCCCCATGCACGTCAGATAGGCTATGGGCTGCAGGAGACAATAGCTAGCAGCTAAACCTGGCCCCTGAATCAGCTATCATGACCTGGAAGCGTGCCAGGCAGCACAGGAGTTAAACTGCTCAGTGGTCTGAAACAATTTAAAAACAATCTCTCTGCATGGAAAACCAGGACAAGCTAAAGGGACAAAAACAAGGTGCCTCAAAACATTCTGCAGCTGGAGGTGGCCTATTATGCACCTCAAAACGCAGAAAAAAACATCTTGAGTAGGTAGATGCATGAGTTTTAACACTCCTCCTTGACCTTGTACCAAGGAAAAGTTAACTACATACCCTGAACTGCTGAGAGAGTGAAAACCAACCAACCAGCCAAATGAAACTCACCCCAAATATGGGAATGGACACAAAACAAACAGGGATTCTAAGAAAAGGGACTTGGTTCAAACCTGCCTGTGCCAAGTGAAATAACATTTCAAATCAGATTTGTAGCATATTCTACTACTGCAAAATTAGTTCTTGAGAGATGAAGAGACTCAAACTTGCTTTTTGATGATCATTACGTGCTTATTATATTTTTCCAGGTTGGGACAAGTTAGAGCCCAGGAAAAGAAAACCCTCCCCATGGGAACAAGAGGAAAGCGCTGAACAGGATTGTGCGAGATGGCTGGGCAATAAGGACTTGGAAGACCAGATGGGCTGAACATTTAACAAGAATTGAGGCAGGATCAGGGAATCCTTGCACCCATGGGATAGATTAGCTAACTGCTTGGGTTTTGAGCTTTACTCTCCTGTGACCACACGTTACCTCACGCAGTCCCTGACCCTTTCTAGAAGCAGCTATAGGTGCCAGAACCCCGTGTGTTTCCTGCTGTCACAGCTTCGGCTCCAGTACCGCGAGCACGGGTGGGAACACGATGCCCACAGCCAACGCCGACCTTCACGCCTTACAGCTTGAATCAGCTCTGGGGGGGAAAACGGGCTTAGGGAAATGTCCCAGAGCACGTGGGACTCTGTCAGTGACAACCCTGTCCCTTGTTGTGCTGCGACGGAGCTAGACAAGCGGCAGCAACACGAGGAGACCCTGAGGGGCCTCAGTGGCCTCAAAGCAGCCCCGCTCTCCGGAGGCGGTGCTGGGAACAGAGCAGCGCCCTGCAGCCCCCGCCCGGCCCGCGCCGCTTACGATCATCTTCTTGTAGAGGCCGTAGTGCAGCACGAGGCTGTGCGTGAGCGCCAGGCGATGCGGCTTCATGGGGTGCCCCGCTCCTGCAAGAGAAGCGGCGACGGCGGTCAC